AATGCGAGTGTAATTAACATCGTGAGATAACTGAATAAGTATATGTCGACCATCAAGTAAGCTAATATTTCAACTGCCCAATAACTTCATAACATCAAACTCTTTTCGAATGATCTCCAATTTTGGGCGACCATAAAGGAATCATTGATAAAAGAAATTAATGTGAGGAGTAAAATGAGATGTTCACAAAAGAACATGTCAGCACGGTTCTCAAGGTAGACGGGACGGCTTAGAAAGATGATGCGATCAATCGACATTCTTGTTAGCAATCGAGGTATTAATGCTAGCGAGAGAGGCATTTGGATCGATCGATTGTAAGGACGACCCAAAGGATTACCCACTGGATGATGATCAACAATAAGATTGATCGGTAGATTATTTAGTTTCAGATCAAATATAGATGAAGTTAAGGTCAGACAAACAACGATGAACTTCTGGCCAACTAGTATCAATATGCCAGTCATATTATAATCAAATATCTTTGTAATTACTAAAAATACATCTAAAAACTAATGATAAGAAGACTGATCTGTAATTTTGTAAAAATGAGACCTATCGCTATAAATAGAGACCCATACTATAAATAAATGTTGCATCTTTTTGATTCTTTACTACACTTTCTCTTTTGATTCTCCTGCATAACGCTCTATACCTTGGTTGTGTTTCCCAGACACTTTTAGATTCAACATCCTTTAAGGTGCAGTGAGCATGAAAACATGCCGTCAACAAGAAAAGGAGCCCAGCAATAACAATAGGGAGAATCCAATAAGAGAAACATGGTAAAAGCATCATGCATTAGAAAGTTCATGGAGGAATTTGTTTAGCAAGGCGTGCAAGATTCAAAAATTCAGATCACCAACCAAATGACAGGACAACTTGCAGAGGCGCTTAAAGTCGTGACAACCTTGGGAGCGATCCCGATTCCAGGAGGAGAACCGACACAATAAAGAGGACCTACCCCCCTTTAAGGGGGGCCACCAACAAATAAAGAAAGGAGAGTGATCTTCTTGCAGGAGAAACTTGCTGACAGGTTGTTTCAAGACAGTGTTGGATCCGCCCCTGTGGAGGAGATGAATCGACAAACACAGATCGAGATACATCGGCAACCGGAAAATGCCTTCTCAGTACATGTTTAAGGAGCTGAGTCCTCGAAGAACTTTAAGATGCCTGCCTTAGAACTGTACAAAGGACGGTTAGATCCTAACGACCATCCCACATTGTTTAAATTGTTCATATGCCTGTTAAAAATCTCTGACACTCTCATGTGCAAGTTATTCTTTACGATGTTGAGATCATCTGCGCTAAGGTGGTTTGGCGAGTTACCCATAGGGGTAATCACTTGTTTTACGGATTTTAGAAGACTATTCTTATTGTAGTTCGCAAGGGCTTTGCGGTCTCGGGACAATGGATGCGAAAGACCTGAACCCGACATGGCCCAGGTCGTTTTGACACAAGGGGTGAGGTTGAAGAGGCCTCGACCTTTTAGAGATGCAGAGCTTGATTGAGCTCTTGGAAATGGTTTATAAGTACATTGCTATCGACGAGAATGCCTCAGAACCCTCCAAACAAAGACATCAAAAGAGGTCATCACAAGATAATTGAAGGCCGCTCAGGCAAACTCTACGAAAGATTTTACACCCGTGCTACGAAGGACACCCGGGTAACAGTTCTTTCAGTCCCCACAATGATCAAAGGAGGCAAGTGAAGGCTCACACCATCTATCGTCTCGCTATCATGTATCCAGAGGTAATCCTGTGGTCCCTCAAGAAACCCCACTGAGAGTGTCCTTGGTAGAAATAGTGGACGCCGTTCAAGATGATGATTTCCTTATAAAAGTAACCCCGATGAGAGCTGACACCTTTCTTCGGGATATCAGAAACTGTCACAAATATCACAAAGATAATGGACACGACACAGAGGAATACAAACACCCGGAGCTTGACCCAGAGGCAGGGAAAAGCTCTCAAGGGAGGACTAACCGCCGAACCCGTCCGCACCAACGACATTCGCATCGCTGGGTACATTCACCCAATCTTTGGAGGATGCTAACCCCCTAGGATGACGCGATCGATCAACATGCCTGTTAGCAATCGATGGATTAATTCTAGAAAGGGAGGCTTTTAGATCGATCGATATTAAGGACATGCCAGTGGATTTCCCATTGAATGACGATCGACCTATGATCAATTGATAGATTGTTGAGTTTCACATCAAATATCAATGAAGTTAAGGTCAGACGAACGATCGACGAATTTTTCGCCGACTGACATCAATATGTCAGTCTTATTATATTCAAATATCATTGTAATTACAATAAAACCCATGTAAAACTAATGCTAATGGTACCAACTTGTAATTTTGTTAGAGCTAGACATATTCTTATATATAGAGGTTCATATCATGAATAAATGTTACACATTTTTGTAATTCTCTACTACAACTCTCTCTGCACAATGTTTTATACCTTGTATGTGTTTCCTAGACACTTTTGTATCAAACAGGAGTATTTTGAAACTTTGTCAAAACATTAATATGAATTATCAAAAGTCAAAAAAATAGACTCATTCTCAGCATGAAGGGGTTGTAAACTTGAGTTTAGAGAGAGTATGGAGATTTAAGGAACTCCATAGTTTTCACCATTATTATCGCCTGACTACCATCAGTTGATCACACTTGTTTAGTTATCGGCAATTGACAATCATCATTCAACCACTTTGGCATAATAGTCATCAACAATCATAGTTTGTCTGATTACTATCACCAAATCACTATCGCCTTATCACAGTCTCCAGAATACCTTCATCCTACCACAAATAGAGCTGTTAACAATCCAATTTTGTGCCGAGCTTGAATATATTTAATGTGGCTCAAAATTAGCTCTTTGCTCTTTATATTTGATTTCGCGCCAAGCCGACTCGAAATTAAATCCAACTCGATCCGACTTGGAATTGAACAGAGGGCTCAAATTGAGTTCTTTGTATCCATCTCAGCTCGAAATCTTCTCAATGGAGCTCAAAATTGAAACTAACCGGCTAAAATTGAATTATTTGGATCCGTTCAAGCTCTAAATCGGCTCGAAATTCCTCATGGCTCGTTATATTCAACTGTATAACATTATATATATATATATCTGTAGCATTTTATCCCACTTTCGCCATTAGTGTGTTTGCTTGGCAAGGAAAAGAAGGCTGTGCATGGAGAACATTGAGATCATTAAATTGCCGATATAAACCGTTAATTTCTGTACAACTGCTGTTGCTGAATCTAATAAACCTCAGCAGCTTTATCACTATTTAGTTGATTAATTTATCACAATTTTGTAAAATCTAATTTTTTTTTTCTTATAGCTTGTAAATTCTAAGTAATTATTATTTTTATTTTCATAAGTGATAATTAATATAATTTTTTTTTCAGTTTGTTTTATTTAAAATGGGGGATTTACGTAGCTCACAATTCTTTTGTATTTGTACATCTCGCCCTTAGACTTTCATATTTATGTATAAATCACTCATATCTTTGATATCACAAAAAATGGCAATGTGTTCGAGATGGCACAGTGTTCCGTGGGGTGTCTCGTTACTCCATGACTTTGGTCTTTAATCCCAACGATGCTTTGCTACTCCGGAGTGTATGCGGTGACTTCCCAAGGGGCTTTGTTGGAATGAGTATGGGGCGGCCTATACTGGTTAGCACTCGATGGTTAAGGGTAGTTAGAGACTGTGGGAATTGGAAGCTAAACTTTAGCCAAGCATCAGTCCGGAACGACATTGGAATTTAGGTCCTTCTCTAACCATCTCCAGGTTCAACTTCTTTGGTTCATGATCTAGGTCTCCTTTCATGAAGGGAGAAAGACTCTATTTATAAAGTATGACAGTAGTCTCTCTACAAATAAAAAATAAATCTGTACCACTCTAGAGAGATTCCCCTTAATTAGATGGTGTTTATGAACTTCTATCTGCTTTAACGATGTCAGAATTGAGTGATCTTGGGCTCATTGGATTCATGTCATCTCCCAATGATGCTTTGTTACTCCGGAGTGTATGCGGTGACTTCCCAAGGAGCTTTGTTGGAATGAGTATGGGGCGGCTGATAGTGGTTAGCAAGCAAGGGTTAAGGTCGGTCAGCTAATGTGGCAATTGGAAGCTTTAGCCAAACTTCAGTCCGGAATGACATTGGAATTTAGGTCCTTCTTCTCTAACCATCTCTAGGTTCAACTTCTTTGGTTCATGATCTAGATCTCCTTTCATGAAGGGAGAAAGACTCTATTTATAAAGTATGAGAGTAGTCTCTCTACAAATAAAAAATAAATCTGTACCACTCTAGAGAGATTCCCCTTAATTAGATGGTGTTTATGAACTTCTATCTGCTTTAACGATGTCAGAATTGAGTGATCTTGGGCTCATTGGATTCATGTCATCGAAACACTCGATTTGAGTATAAATTTTTAACATTTAGAATCCATTTGACTTTCTAATTATCCACCAAAACATCCAAAAATGGTTTAACGACATCATTTACACATGATTCGACTCAAATTAGGCCAATTTCAATATCATTAGATTCATCCCATTGAGCCGGACTGTTTTATTATAAGTAAGTTTGCTAAAATCAGAGTTCTAGATGATTTTTTATTTGAGCTCAAATAATTTTTTCCCACTAAATGACTTGAGATCCATGCCATTTCTCAATCTTCGCATCATATGCTGAAAATTTTCTAATGATGTATCCATATACACAGACACACATACACACACACACAAAATTAAAAATTGAAGTTTAGGAATTAGATATGTAAATACACATGAATTAAGTGATATATATATATATATATCAAGCTAATAATAAAGAGTCTCCAATGTAGTTGGCCATACCCATACATAGAAGCTCTACTTTTGACTGCTTTTCCCAATAGTTATTTGTATTAGAAATGTCTAATTAATCCCCTACAACTCACGAGCCACTTCCCTTCCTCCTACTACTACTATACAAAACCTCACTCTCTCCTCTCATTTAATGCACACATATGGCTTGGAAATATGTATTTATTTGATTTCAACCCTGTTCCTTCTTCTTCATCTCTTACTTCTGAATTTTCACCATTATAATTCTCCAATGGCTTCTGTTCATCCAGCAGCAACAGCGTTTCTCCTTTCTCTGCTCTTCTTCGCTCATCTTCAGCTCTCCATGGCCGGCGGTTTTCTCTCTGGCTCAGTCTCATGCATGGACTGCTCTCCCTCACATGATCTCTCTGGTTCTGTTTCTCTTCCTCTTTCTTTCATTTGTTTTAATTCTATGTATTCATTCTATCATTTTTTTTTATAGTTACAAAAATGATCCCGGATTATTTATATAACATAATTTTAGTCACAGAGTTTATATAAGTGTTACATTAAACTCAAATTTATTTAATGGAGGTTGAAGTAGTATGTAAATGCTTCTAAAATATATTAGAACATGGTGGTAAGAAAATACATAAATCACAAGACAAGAAAAGTTATTACATGTGATGACAACATATCGCGGTCTGACAATAACTACACTGTCATGTATCGTACGACAGTGCAACTGAACCATCATTCGAACGTAAGATTGCATCAAGTAATAATTTCTCCATAACATAATGCTTGGTTGAATTAGCTCATATCCCCCTTGAATGAAGTTTGTTTGAAAAAAGATCTGAATTTGACTTCATCTAAAGTCAAGCTCATAATGTTCGAAAAAAGATCTGAATTTGACTTCATCTAAAGTCAAAAGCTTTGACTTTGAATCAAATTTGACCATTCCTTCTCTCCTCAAAACAGGGATCAGCCTGGCAGTCAACTGCGGCGGACAAAAAACACAATCCTACGCGTTGACCAACATCAACGGTCAATTTCTGATCTCCGTCCCAAATCCTCCTCCTCCTCCATCCGACTGCTCTGTAAATCTACTCGGCGCAAGAACTCAGCTCTGCGGCTTCAAAAACTCAATCACCTCCAAAATCATCGCCATTAATTCCTCAATTAAATCATCAAACAGCTCTTACGCTCTTCAAACGCCGCTCGCCTTCTTCACCTCCTGCCAGAAGATAATCGAACAGGCGAAGCTTGAGAAGACGAACGGAGCTAATAATGGCGGCGGAGCTGGTTTGCGGGCGAGGGGGCCGCAGTCGCCGCCGGCAGAGGGATTCGGCCTGCCACCGTTGCCGCCGTTGATCTATGTTTTCCCCTTCATTCCCATCATTGGGATTCCTTGAGGTTGAAGAGGAGTGGTTTAGCTGGCTATTATGGTTGAAATTAGTGGGCTTTGTATCTGAATAAAAGGTGTTTGTTTGTTTGTTTGTTTGTTTGGTTTGTAATAATGAAGTTGATTAATATTTGAATGGGTTTATTAAGGATAATTTGGTCATGGGGGTGGGAAGCAATGGTTATTTAAGAATGTTTAAGGTGTTTCGCCCAATTCTTATGGGTTTATCTATCTCACGCTTAAACTTTCAACACAGCGTACTTTATTTATTGATGAAACGATAGATTCGAGTTTCCATGTAATGTTCGTAATTATGAAAGTTTAGGCGTGCGATAAATAAATATGAAAGTTTTGGATGATATTTACTTTAAAACCTCTTTTTTTAATTTTATTTTTAAAAATATTTTATTCAACATATTTTTTTTACTTGTTTTTCTCTTTAAAAATGGTTAAAATTATTTAAAATTATTTTAAATATTATTTTTGAATGTTTTTAGAGTTTTTGAAAACAATGGATCACAACCATTTCACTCAATTTTTTCAATATTAAATTAAAATAAAAAAAACCTTAATGTAAAAAATATATTTTATTTAAAATCAAGTATAAAAAAATAAGAAAATTGAAAAAATGAGAATAAAATACATGTTTTTCCAAATGGCCTCTTTAAATATTTTGGTTTAAGGTGATTTTTTATTTTAACAAAAATAAGTTTATAATTACTTCTCTAATGTAATTTATTATGTTAGTGATGATTATTGAGAGCTACTTATGTGAGCCCAAAATATGATATGTGATATTCCAACTCAAGGTCTCATCGTTAGATTGTGATTTTTCCGTACTTTGGCAGAGCATGCGCTCGGTTTAGTGTCACGACCAACACAGATATTTCACCCTCAACCACTATGTCACGTATAAGTGCATGAAATTCTGTATTTCAAAGTATGAATTTTTATAACGCGAATTCCCTCATGTTAGTCCCTAATTATTTTATGAGACTTATTTATTAATAATTAAACTTGTTACCTTTTCTTTAAATTAATTAAGATTTTATAATGTGAATTCCCACATGGTAGTCCCAATTCTTATATATTTACATATCTAAGAAACAAGCTTTAATTTTTACATTTATACCACCAAAATCCTTCAAATAAAGTCAAAAGTGCCACCATTTTAAAAGTGAAATGTAGCTTTTCATGCACCGGTAAATGTGGTGGTATGCATGCATGCAAAAATTGGGGTGTTAGATATGTAAATACATAAGAATTGAGTGGTATGTATGTAAATCTTTATTTACATATATAGCACCTAAACTTTACAATATTGGCTTTATTTTCTATTTTATTTTATTTATTAATTATGTCCAACACTTGGAAATTGGCAATTCTTAACAACATTGAAAGCTTTAAATACCAACCACTCAATGCCGCTCTAGTTACATATATAGCACCTAAAGTTTTAATTTTTTACATCCATACCACCTTTAATATCCATGAAAACAGTGTACTTCGCTTTCTAAAAGTTAAAATAATGGCACCTTTGATGTGATGTGACTGATTTATTTTGGGTGGTATAAATTAAAAGGAGGAGAATTTAGGGGTTAGGTATGTAATACATGGGAACAGTGTGGTATATTTGTAAATGCAGCTGATTCAATTTATAAGCTGTACTCGCTTGCCTCACCCATTGAGTTCTTGCCACCGAATTTACTCTAGCAATAATGCAGTTGAGGGCAAACCCCCCCACAATCTGTATGTATTTACATATCTAGCCTATAAATTTTCCTATTTACAATAAAATTAACTCATAAAAAATATAATTATCACTCAAAAATAAATAAATTAATGGCAGTTAATGTAAATAATTAAGTTTAAATGTTCGATAAATACATAATAATTGTGTGGTATGTATGCAAATTTGACAAACAATTAATGGAGTTCTCGTGTCAATTAACCACATTATAGTTGGTGACCTCCATATATATCTATTTCACACTACGCAAATGTGCAAATGTGTCTGGATCGTCAAGACGGTTTAAACGAGCATATTAACAGTGAAATCAGGCTTCATCCATCATATTCGAGTAATATATAATAAATTGATATATTTATATATTGACATCATATTCGAGTAATATATAATAAATTGATATATTTATATATTGACCTTAAAATATGTTTATATGCCTATATAATAATGATGCATAATATTTAAATTCAAATTAAAATTCAAAATTTTCCTCATGAATTCTCATTACTCATATTAATGGAAACTTGATTGAATATTAGTTGGGCAGATTAGTCTAATTTCAAGGCATATTGTTCACTTTCCAAAAGTTAAACCGGGTTTAGAGAGAATGAATGCTATTTGATTGGGGCCCACCCAAAATTAAAGAAAAATCTGCTTTTCCACCTCTCATATAACACAAAAAAAGGCAAGAATAAGTTTTGCCAAAAAGCCATCACCTTTCTCCTCTTAATTTTCTTCCCATGACTGGTCCACAATTCTATTTCTCCTTCTCTCCTTCTCTCCTTCTCTCCTTCTCTCCTAATGGCATCACAAGAAGGAAGTGGTCTCTCTCTCTCTCTCTCTCTCTCATGGCATCACAAGAAGGGAGAGGTGGTGGATTTTTGCAAAAGAGCCGTAAATTTTCAAATTTGTCTCTAGTCGTACTCTCTTTATTTTCCATAACTGATCAATCAACTTCTATCACTTTTCTTTTCAAGGAGTGATCCGCAGATCCAGATTAAGGGCGTGTTTGGGGCCGCTGCAGCTTATCAATAATCTGTTGATAAGCAACTGATCTGAATAAGTTGTTGATCAGCAGCCGATCCAGATAAACTGGTTGGCTGTTTAGTTTGTGTTGTTGCAAAACAACTATTTTGCAATTGTTTCTGAATAAATGACCATTATGTCCATGTGCAGTAATGTTGTTTAAAACACAGCTGTCATAGTAATGTATTTGATACTTGAAAAGCATAAAAATCACACTCAGAATAAAAAAAAAATAAGATATACATCTCAATTAATAGTCAGCATCAAAATTACAATTAAAAAAACAGTTCAAAGCAGAAACTTCTCATATGCAAAAAATTCGAGAGCACTCTTATCATAAAAACTCGTTCGATCCATTTATCTTCCCAATAAGCAACCGTAAAAATAGCTTATAGAAATGTCAACAATACCTACTAGATTTCCTCATTCAATCTTTCATATGGCGCATTTTTAAAATTAATTCAAAATTTTAGCTTCAGACTTCTCCCACAAGTAAATAGTTTAGATGATAGTTTTGACAGCTTCGTTCCAATTTCTATGGAGTTTTTATATAATGGAAGATTCACAGAAATCCTAATGTATTTACACATCTGACATCTAAAGCTCAATTTTTACATATATGCCACTTCAACTATAAATGTTCAATGCAATTCTGAACTATAATTAATAAACCACTGCAACATTATATGATATACAAACCACACAAATTTATGTATTTACATATCAAACACCTAATGTTTGATATTTACACTTATAACACCTTGGCGTCATGAAACTATGCAGAAAATGTGTATTTCACCTCTAAAAAAGTTAATAATGATGATATTTTTGATGTGATGCTAATGCTCTGAGTTTAATAAATATAAATATGAACGTTTAGGTGTTAGATATGTAAATGCATAACAATTATGTGGTATGCATGTGAATGTCCCAAAAAATATGATAAAAAGCATGAAATATAATACATAGGAATTAATTAGAACATAAATGCTCCTTACTTTTTCTGTACTTAAAGCAAGGGCTCTCCCTTGCCTAGAGGTTAAATACTACAATAGTAAGTGTTTTCAAAAGACTTTATGGGACCATAAATTAATGCCGGTGAAACAAAGTCCTAAGCTACCAATCCTCATCAAGACTAACTCGATGGAAGCAGAGTACAGTACAGACTAAAATGAAGAATGAGGTGAATTCGATTAACATTGCACCTGTTTCGATCAGATGAGCGTGCCGTAAGATTGCGGGTATGGCGATGCTTCCGATGGCCGAGGCACCGGTGAGAAACTTTGCTGCGTTTATCCAACTGTAGTCATCAAAGCAAGGTTTTGGTTATAACTATGAAATGGGACAATTCCAAAGTCCAGAATATGGCAACTAGTAATTAAAAAAAAATAATAATGCTTGCTTGTTAAAACCTCATGGTTTTTTGTCATTCTGTTAAAAAGGAAAGAAAATACTAAAATTTTACAAAACAAGGAGTGATAATTTGTTCTATTTTACAAAAGCTGACATACATGCATATATATATATATATATATATATAGAAGAGAAAAAAAAAAGAAATGTTAAGCTCTGTAGATTACTTCTGTAACCACACTTTCTCCTAAGTAATTAAAATTCGTAGGCTTGATTAGTTCCCCAGGTGGGCTTTGATAAATTAGTTCACAGAAGCCAAATGACTCGCTACTTAATTTTGACAAGATTTTATAGCGTGAAAAATGCTGCCTGATTTAAGCAAAATATATGATTTTTCCACTTCAAGCAAAAGAATGATGCTTCAATAGACACTAATGGGCAGAAAATTAACACTGCCAAAAAAAAAAAAAAAAAAAAAGGGCATTTACATACATACCACTGCATTCTTAAGTATTTACGTATCGAACTTTTTATATTTATACCACCTATATCATTCATATCACATAAAAAATACCACAGTTTTAACTTTTAAAAAGTGAAATACATATTTTTATGCATAGGAAAGGGGGTAATAATGGTAGTTATGTAGAAATTGAAGTATAAATGGTACATATGTAAATACATAAGAATTGAGTGGTATGCATGTCTACATATGTAAACACATAAGAACTGAGTCATATGCATGTAAATCTTCCAAAAAAAAGGGAAATACGCCAACATCAGCTACAAAAATAGCAGTAATTTTCCAATAACTTTTGGGCGTTTCCAAAATGAATCAGCATTTATTAATCTGACAGCTCATATCATGAAAAAGGTAGACTGCAGTACAACTGGGTTATATTCTCCAAAACAAACTGCCTATAATTTTTATTAAGGAAATTTACATACATATCACAAAATTCTTATGTATTTACATATCTAACAACTAATGTTTGATACTTATATTATAAAACCCATGCATGAAAAGGTATATTTCACTTTCAAAAATTTAATAATAATAATATTTTTTATGCAAGGTTGAAAACTCAAGATTTCAAAATTTCAGTTGTTCATGATGAAGCAAATGCTATGTGGGATAAAGTAACAAAGACTATTAAACAAGTAGCAAAAGATGTGTTTGGAGAATCAAAAGAAAAAGTTTCTTTAAATAAAAATAGTTGGTGGTGAAATACTACTATGCAAGAAAAGATAAAATATAAGAAGTTCTGTTAGAAAAATTGGTTTAAATGTAAGAGTTTAGAGAACTGAGAAAAATATCAAACAATTCGCTGTGACGCTAAAAAAATCTGCTTTTAATGATCTTTATAATAGATTAGATACTAAGGAGGGTGAAAAATATATGTATAAACTAGTCAAACAAAGAGAAAAGAAAAGTAAAGATTTAACTTAAGTAAAATGTATTAAAAATGAAATTCAAAAAAGTGTTTTTCTTAGAAAAAAGTATTTAACATAGGTGGGTGAGTTATTTTGATAAAAGTTTTAATGAAGTATCTAAAAATACGATCGATCTTAGTAATTTTAATATTGCTATCAATAATAAAGCGTTTCATCTTTACCGTCGCATTAGTAAAAAAGAAATTGAGGAGACTTTAAAGAAAACCAAGGGTGGAAAGTCTGTATGACCTGATGATATCCCAATTGAAGTATGAAAATATTTAGGAGATTTGAGAGTTTCTTAACTTACCAAATTCTTTAATATTATTTTAAAAACCAAAAAAATGCCTGAGGAGTGGAGAAAGAGTATTTTGATCTCCATTTTTAAGAATAAAGAGGATGCACAAGAATGTGCAAATTATAGAGGAATTAAGTTGATGTGTCATACTTTAAAATTATGGGAGAGGGTAATTGAACATAGGTTAAAACGTATTACAAAGATTTATCATAATCAATTTGGATTTATGCCGGGTAGGTCCACTATGGAAGCTATACATTTATTGAAAGATTTGGCGGAGAAGTTCAGAGATAATAAGGAGAACCTACATTTGATTTTTATTGATTTAAAAAAAAACTTGGGATAAGGTTCAAAGAGATATCCTTTGGAGAGTTCTTGAGAAGAAAGGTGTTGATATGAATTATATTCAATTCATTAAAGATATGTATACTAGAGCTCTTACTTGTGTTCGAACTGAATGAGGATTGACCAAATATTTTGCTATTTTTGTTGGACATCAAGGATCGGCTTTAAGCCCATATCTTTTTGCTTTAGTTATGGATGGTCTTATTGGACATTTATAGGAGGATGTACCTTGGTGTATGCTTTTTGCCGATGATATACTTCTCGTGGATAAGACGAGAGAAAAAACTTGAATTATGGAGGTCTACATTGGAGTCTAATGGCCTTCATTTGAGTAGAACTAAAGCTGAATACATAAAATATGATTTTAGTAGTAGTAGCTCTAGTGACAGAAGTGTGACTTTGAGTGATCAAATTAGTAAAAGTGTGAACAATTTAGATATCTCGGCTCTGTTGTTCAAAGCGATGGTGATATAGATAGGGATGTTAATAGTAGAATTCAAGTTGGTTGGTTGAAGTGGAGGAATGCTTCGGGCCTTTTGTGTGATAGAATACAAAAGTCCCCCTTAGATTTAAAGGAAAATTTTATAAGACAGTAGTAAGATCTGCAATGTTCTATAGTGCTGAATGTTGTCCTCTGAATACATAAAATATGATTTTAGTAGTAGTAGCTCTAGTGACAGAAGTGTGACTTTGAGTGATCAAATTAGTAAAAGTGTGAACAATTTAGATATCTCGGCTCTGTTGTTCAAAGCGATGGCGACTCTGTTGTTCAAAGCGGTGATATAGATAGGGATGTTAATAGTAGAATTCAAGTTGTTTGGTTGAAGAGGAGGAATGTGTCGGGTTTATTGTGTGATAGAAAAGTACCGCTTAGAGTGAGATCTGCAATGTTCTATAGTGCTGAATGTTGTCCTTTAAAAGAGAAGCATAATACTAAGTTAAGTGTTGTCGAGAAAGAGAATGATTAGGTGGATGAGTGGCTTTACACTTAGAGACAAAATGCGAAATGAATATATCCGTGATAGGGTTGGTGTAGCTCCTGTGAAGGACAAAATTAGAGAAATTTGTCTTAAATGGTTTGGTCACATTAAACGTCGATCATCTGATGATCTGATTAGGAGAGTAGATGTTCTAAATTCGACTTATGTTGAGAAAGACAGAGGTAGATCTAGGAAGACTTAGGCCTAATGCATAAAAAAATGATCTTAATTTATTAGAACTAAATGAAAATAGGACGCAATGGAGAAAAAGGATTCATGTAGCTGACCCCACGTAGTGGGATTAAGGTTTTTTTGTTATTGTTATTGTTGTTGAAGATTTGAGTGGTAAATATGTAAATATCAAAATTTAGAAATTAAATGCGTAAATATTTAATAATTGTGTGCTATGTACGTAAATGCCACTTTATATTTTTGTTCTCATGTTCAGCCAAACAACCTAAATCAAGTATTTCAATCAACCAAGTCAAAAAAAAGGAAGTTACAGATATAGTTTGATCGCTGGACAGAACGGCTGATTTCCAGAGAAAGTAGAGAGTCATCTCCCTCAGACCGCCGAGTTTAATCATCTAACAGAACAACTATCAAATCTACTAAGACCACTATTTATTTAAAGAACGTATGTTCTTTCATAGTAAGAATACCACGGTTGATGAGTTTTACAACCTGATTTACTGCATATCTAATAAAAAGTAAGAATATTTGTATACATTCCACTCAATTCCTATGTATTTACATATTCTGAGTCCTAAACTTCAATTTTAACATACATACCATATCACCTTAGAGATGTATGAAAAGGTGTAATTCACTTATTAAAATTTAAAATGGTGATATTTTTAATGCGTTTTGAAAGATTTGCATGGCATAAATGTTAAAGACAAAACTTAGGTGTTAGATATGCAAATACTTGCGAAAAAAGGTGGTATGTATGCAAATGTCCCTAAAAAGTAATAAATCAGCTGAACTTCATTTGTCAAAAGTCATATCAAGGAACAAAGCTTGTCACTTGTTCGCTCAGCTATTAATTTTAGATAGCAGAAATACAAGTTGGTGGAGTTTGAATTAAAACAGCGGGCATTTATATACGTAGCACACAATTCTTATTTATTTACAAATCTCACAGCTAAACTTTCATATTTAAACACAAATCTTTCACATCAAATAAAAAATAGCACTATTAACATTTTCATGCGTAAGTTTAAAACACCAAAGTGTTATGTATGTAAATATGAAAGTTTAGGTGTGAGATATGCAAATACATAAGAATTGTCTACATATATAAGTTTCCCAAATAAACAACAAATATTTCTAGACAAAGATTCAAACAGCAAGCAAAACTAAAAGTATGTCAATATTTAAACTCACCCTCCACTCTCCCTGCTGGTCAGGAAATGTGTAGATCCACCTCCGAAAAACATACAAGGCATTGGCACCAACACATACATGAGGGCTATAATTAATGAAATCCTATTAGTGATGTAAAGTATCTCAGTAAATATATTGCGCGAACTGAAATTTGGTTTACTATATTTATGGTGAATCGTCTACCAGTTAACATAGGCCACCAGTTGTTGTACAGTGCACAAGCCTGCAAGAATAAAAGAATTTGGTAAGGCTCATGCCATAGATTAAAAATAAAATATAGAATTGATCTTCAAAAACACTGAAAAAAAACAACCATGTGTTTCCCAGGTTTTAGGTAACAAAACTAAAATATAAACAAATGGTGTCTAACCATCAGCAAAAATAAGATATTTTCCAAACTCAAAAGTTGCTGCACATTTTAAAAAATCAATCATCATCATCTCTAGTTATTTATTTCTTTTGTGTAATGCTCTCTAATAAACTAAAAGAAAGTTAACAAATAGCGAATCTTTTGTGTGTAGTATCCAAATGAGAATGAGGTCTTAAATGAGTTATTATACTATATAACTAAGGGTCCGTTTGGGGCAGCTTATAAGTGCGGGCGGCGTTTTCAAAACGCCGTCATACCGTTTGGCTCGCGCTTTTCGCCAGCTTATCCGAAACTGCGTTTGGGTTTTTACACTAAACGCAGGTCGCGGGCCGACCTCAAAAATAACATGAGTTAAGGCTTTATCATGAATTTATAAAACCAAATGTGAACTTTAGCTGGGCATTAGTGAGAATGACTAAGTTGAGATGTAGATGACATGTTGCAATGCAGTATATAGACTAGGGTTCATATGTCATTATAATAAGATTGAACCAACTATGGCCACTCCACAGCAATACACTTTCATACTACATGATTTTTATCCCAGCATGTCATGAGAGTGGATGAATGATACTTATTTCACCATATTGTTTGTCTGATGAGCTTGTGATGGTCATCATGCTCTTTGATTTAGAGCTACTTGAGGGAGTGTAATAGTAATATTGCAACTTTGGCATGTTATCCTTGTGTCACTGTTATTTTAGTCTCATGAAGCATGCCTAGGAAAATATACATACCAAACGTGATTGATACGAGAGACTAAAAAGTGAATTATATGACATGTTGCCCATACGATTACTAAAAAATTGATTTTGTGATAATAACATGCAAATAATATAAGAATACCTAATAAAATATGAGGTTTTGTGCTTGTGAAAGTAAGTAAAGTGCATGAACTAAGTAGAAATGATCACTAGTTCGATGATAGGTTTTTATATAACCTAATCATAGTTGTTATTATTTTCAAGTATATGATATCCCCCTTAATGTAATAATGGAGCATAATATGTATGCCAACCCATATATCTAAATGAGAGACACTGATATCTAAGTTAAATGACACTCCAAATTGGGATGAATCGGTACTTTTTAAAATATTTTCCTAAGAAATTTAAATATTTTAATAATATTATTAATTAAAAATAAAATTTAGAAATAAATTACCATATAAATACTAAAATGTAGCATTTAATCAGAACTCATCAACACACAAGGTTAACTCATATAATAGGTTTATATGATTAATATAATAAGTGGGTCTTCAACTAAAAGGCTTAATAATAATTAATCCATCTAGCTACTCCGACTACATATATATATCATCAATTTCTACAACAATGAAAACTAAGGGTGTGTTTGGGGCGGTTGCTGTTTTTCCAAGAAACAATTGTAAAGTCTTGCTTCCTGGAGAAGCAGCTTATCAAGAACTATCAAAAAGTGATTGATACAAAAGTTGGAGTCCGTTTGGGAGATCTACTGTGTTGTTGTTGTTGTTTCTGACGAGAATGTCTGTTTCACTCTTATATATGTAATATATTTGAATATTACAATTTTCAGAATAATTACAATAAAATAATAGAAAGAAGTCATACTGCACAAAAAAGGTGTTAAACATATTATTCATAAATTATTTTGACTAACTATCCATGTTACCTTAAGCCAAACATTTTTTTCGTTATCTTATGACAGTAATTTTATCTATTCATTTAATGTTACATTTTCTAGACATTGAATAGATGTAACATCCTAAATCATTCATCGGGTATAATCATTCCTTAATTTATATTGTTTAGCTGTTACACAACCATCTTAAGGTTCTCATTTATGCTAAGATCAACATAAATAATAAATATCAATTACTTACGGTCTTAAATAAATATCTAAATAACATCATCATCCTGATTATGAATTGATAAAATTTAAATTAAAATCTCCATGAAATTCTCTTATGATGTAATATACTTTGAGCTTTAGACTAAATGGTTTACAATATGTTTTGTTCCTTCCGTTTAAGAAAGAAAATTTTTCAAAATGTGATAGCAATCTTTGAAAATGAGTTCATTAAATAAGGCAATTTACACATTAATGATATTAATACAATTCAAGAGTCTCTGCAATATGGAGCAATGACAGTCATGATAAATTTCAACAATTAATTAAAATAGAAAAGCTAAAAAGTAACTCCTTTTTCATTTTTTTTTTCCTTTTATTTTGGTCTATAAGAACATATAAAAGTGTAAGCAAACCGATGCAAAGAAAAAATTTTATCCTCAAAAGAAAAAAAAAAGAGATGGAATGTATAGATGCACAAATTGACATTCTAAGTTTGATTTTATTTTACGAGTTCATGGATTTACAAAACAATGCTAGGTCTGAATAATTTTATTAAACCTATGAAATCCAGTTGTGTTCTCAAATAATTTTGATTCTCCTAGAATGGTTCACTACTGGTTTTCTATTAATTCAATGGTTTGCTGGTTTGCTGCCATTTTACTGTTGGCGGTTTAACAACTATTTTATCGCTAAACCATAGTTTGTTTTATTATTGTTAGCTATTAGTGGGTGGGTTACTATTACAGATGGGGTGAATTGTGTGAGATCATATTTCGTCACATGGAAACGTGTGCTCATTCAAGTGGTTTTGCCAATTGTGCCTTATGATTTTCCTGCAATTTCAAGATAATATTTAGAAGTGAATTTTGGAAAATTTGAGGATTACAAAAGTTTAAAGATTTAAGATATGTAAAGAAAAACTGATTATTGAATTAAATTTCTCTCAAAGTTGTTTAGTAGTTGGTTATGAATTGATAATTTCAGCGGAAAGTGCTCTCTTCGTACCAGTATGAAGCCTAATATCTTATTTTGATTTATTTTGAATAAAAATTTCGTGATTGTTAGCGAGTATGATTGCTTTTGGCAGCTCTATTACAATCTATATTATCTAATGACAATATTTCAAATTCCTTAATTTTAATTAGTTATAATTAAATTAAAATTTGAGCAAATTTTTGTGTAGTTCCAATCTGTAATTAAAAATAATGAATATTTGTTACAATTGATGGTGTGTAAACAACAAATTTGCTATTTTCTGAATGTTTCTGTGCATATCATCCAAAATTTGCACTAAGAAAGTTTAAACCTAATCTTGCATCATAATATCAATTATAAATATGAAATAATTGGGTCTATCAACAAAATAATAGCATATAGTGATTTAAACTAAAGCAAATAACTTATAGTTCTAAATAACTCCAACATGATTATCATGGATTTCAGAATTATATGCTTATATTCAATGTGGTATAATCCTAGAGAATTTCCAAATTGGATCAATAATTTAAATATTTTTTCAAACAATACAATATGATTGGTTTCCAAAAAGTTGAGTGTGCTACATCAATACTGATTGAACATGCTCAATTATCTTAGCAAAATATTGCTACTAAATTTAAATTGGTAAATATGAAATATAAGCTTAAAGAGCAATATTGTCATTCAGATATTATAGGGATCAATTACATAATCAATTTTTTTTAAAAAAAAAACAAGATAATCAAGAGATGCTTGGATATTACATAAGGTTTCCATGCCTTGTAGCCAAAATTATTTGCATCATATGAAGCATAGGTACTTAAACAAAAACAAGGCCACGACAGAAGTCCCGCTTGCTTAAAATTATGTCAAAGATATTTCAAGCCCAAATCAGGTTCAGACATAGTGCAACTTGAGGTCAATATGCAACACACCTAAAGGGCATGTTTGAGAGCTTCTTTTTAAATCCAAAGTCTAGTTTTTGTTTGGTTGCTAGCTATAAGCCTATAAACCCTCGAAAGTAGACTAGCTCCAGTATGACATTCCTCCACAATCATACCATCCCTTCATATTTGTATCATTCAGTCCGCAGTCCCCCAAGCACTGGATTACGTTTCTATATACCGCTCTTTTGCATTTCTACTCCTGTAGGCCATTCTTCTCACGCATTTACTACTCCTATAAGCCATTCATCTTGCATGTTTTGTGAATTCAATTGCTCCAGAAACCACCAAAACCCCCCCAAGCATTGCTTAAATCCACTTAGTTTACTTTCTATCTAGAACGGCTGCTATACCCCTTAATGTATCACTCGGTTCTCGTTCAGAATCATCAGTTCTTGCCATAATTCACACTCAATTTCTGCTCATAGCCCCAACGTATAATGTGCTTATGATGGCTTTAAGTCTGTAAATTTCCTCCTTCAACCCTAACTTCAGATTTATAAAATAGCATACTTCATTCTATGATATTTTTATGTAAAAAAAAAACAACAATCGGGTATTTTAATTACATCTTTCATATTAATAAGTTATAAAAAGGAACATTATATCAATAATATCTTGCGTCATTCTTTCTACAACTATATCATGCCAGTGTGTTCAGAATATAATAGGCTAGCATTTATATTATTTTGGATCAAGACCATTATCACATTATCATTTATTTCATTAGAGGTCTACCCTCCGTGTTCGTGTTGGACAAGGCTATGGCTCCGACATACTTCAATATGTGTCCAACATGGCACACATTGCCAGAATTTTTTTATTATAAACTTAGTTTCCAATAGGGCGTGAACATGGTAAGGACATGGCGAAACATGACAAGAACATGAAGGGATATGGATGAATACTTGTGTGATAAAATATTACTATTATTATTAATCATATTTGGTTATTTTAATATTTAGAAAGTATCTTTTATGATATTATGTTTCATTTCGTGGTATCTTTGTTAGAGAATAACAAAAAAATTATATGTTTCATATTAATAATTTATTAAATATAGAAAAAATTTTACATTTAGCAAATTATAAATGTGTTTGATATGTTTAAGTTGTGATATGTCCTACTTATCACAATTATGTTATGTCTTCATATGACTAGTCTCCATGGCACGTTTTATCAGTGTCCCCATATATGTGTCAATGATTCATGGCACATAGCATTAGATATCGAGAAATATTACAATTAACATGATAGGATATTTACACGTATTTTTACCAAAGAAGAGCTAGTAAAAGGTCATAGAAAGCCCATTAAACTCACAACAATAATCCAATGTACAATCAAATATGATCTTATGGATAAAATTATAGTTCATGAGTATTCAATTCATTTTCTATTGAATGCAAAAGTGAATTTATAGTTGAAGGTGATTCTACATCTTAATTTATGGAATCTCAATCTACACATACATTTGAGCAAGCTCATGAACCTCAATCTATATTTGAACAAAAATAAAAAAAAATTGGCTCTAAAATTGAATTAAGCGTGAAAATTAATTTGAACTTAAAGCTCTAATTGAAGTTGAATCTATTACTAAGTGCAAAATTGAAAAGAAACTTGCCTGCCATAATTACTGAATCAATAGAGCTAAATAATAAAAATAATATTTGAAATATTATCAAATGTCATTAATAATATGACAAAAAATCAAACTAAAATCAATCCAATTTTTTGCGCTAGATTTCTTGATTTACCAAACCGTAAATAAAATTATGGAGACACTTAAACTTCATCAACATTTCAATAAGCTTAATGACTAATATCTTATAAAAAAAATGAAATTTAAAACGCAGTCAATCTAGGCAAATCAAAAAGTAACCAATTCATCACTAATCTTTAAACCATTGGGACAATTTTTTTTAAGATATCATCCATACATAAAAAATTATCTTATTCGTGTGCCTTTTAAATTTTCTTTAACATCCCATCCTTTAAAACTAGTGATAGTGACCATTATGATGCATACTAGTGTTTTCATTATTTGTCTCAAATAAAATTAATTATCTATTTGATCTGCACGAAAACATTTGCAGAAAAACTAACAATTAATTCTTACAATTATAAGTTAATCATTGATATTTATAAAAGGAATGTAGAATTTAAACAAGATAATAAAATTATGGTCCGTGAACCCTATAATATTTATTAAGAAAACATTTAAAAAATAAACTTCCAGAAATGTAGGCCTATACAAAATATCATGTAATGCATTGGGATGAATGTTTATGAATCGAAATTTCCAAAAAATCCTAGCATTAATCCATTCTTGAAGGTATTTAATTTGACCTTATTTCATTAGTGAGCCACCAGAATTCTTGTATTTTTCTCTTTTCATCTCCTTTTTATAAAGGAAGATTTACATGCATACCATAATAACCTTTATAAATTGAAATCCAAAGCATTATTAGAGAATATATATATATATAAAATTTAAATAAGATGTCGTCGTTCCGCTCTGCGCGTCTCACGTCGCCTTTGCCTTCGTTTTGGGAAAAACTAGCTTTCGTCTTCGGTTTGGTAAATACCGGCGTCGTCTTCGTCATCAGTACTTGCGTCGTCGACGTGCCTCGTGTTCTCGCGTCGTCTGCTTTGTCTGGCGGCAGAGCTACCGGGTGCGTTCGACAGCTGCGCTGACACTCGTCGTGCCTCGTTTTTCTCACATCGTCTTCTTCGTCTGGCGACATAGCTACCCGGTGTGTCTCTACAGGCCCTGCTTCTGCTCGACAACTGCGTTGTCTGTGACAGAGCTGTGCGTCGTCTACAGGCTTTGCATTTTTTGTTGGCACTGGCCGCGGTAATGGTCTCAGAGCTTTCCTAAGCCGCCGCCCTCGCCTGTGATAACTCTGTCAAACCCTCCTATGCTACAGTGGTTCACAAATGTAGCTCCCATTTCCACCTCGCAGATAGTTTGATATTCTCGCAGATGTAACATGATTCTGTTGCAGGATATAGAAACTGCAATCTCATCAAGAAAGTCGAAAAAAAACGGGCAAACCAACAATATTCTTCTCTGACGCTGAAATTTAAACTCCTGCAGAAAAATACAAATTTACTCTAGTTGGAAAGTTCCAATTAGGTTGCCCAAAGATGGAGACTATCAGGAAGGTTTTTGAAGATTTCAAACTAGTTGGGGCTTGACAGGTGGGTCATTTCGATGGAAGGCAAGTTATGATACAGTTGAGTATAGAAGAAAACTACACAAAGATTTTTTCAAAGAAATTCATCACAATCGAGAGCAAACATATGAAATTGCTCAAATGGACTCCTGATTTTGATCCCAATCAAGAACCCTCAATTACACCTGTCTGGTTCTCATTACCTGAACTCAAAATTCAATTTTTTGACCTACCTATCTTATATTCAATTGGGAATATCCTTGGAAAACCTTTACAGGTAGACTTACCGGCAGTTCATCTCTCAAGACCCTCTATTGCAAGGATTTTGATTGAAAGAGATATTATACTACCAGATGTAGAAGAAGTTTGGCTTGACTCTGCTCATAATGGTTATTGGAAAAAAATTTACAAACACTGCAAGATGTTTGGACACCCGCAGGAGAAATATTTCAGATTGCACCCACAGCTGAGAACCAATAATCAAAAGCATGAACATGTTGTTAGTGCACCCCACGTGCCTGAACGCGCTCCTAACAAACCGGATGACAGCCAACCTGAGGGAATCACCACAATACAGAAGTTGGTGTCAGCCCCTGGGAACCTTTCTCCTGACCATACTACAACAGATAATGTCGCTATTCAAAAAGCATTAGGTGCGGAGGTGACAATTCACACTTCACATACACTGGAACATATCACTATGACAACGACTATCTTTCCTTCTACTGCGGTTCTAAATCAGACCGATGATCACACGAGCCAGTCTTATGATGAAGAACTACAGGTTTATACTTCTCGACGGAAGAAGGTTGGGGGAACACTCCAACTTGGAAATTTAATGGATGATACCTTGGTTACTCCTGGCAATGACACGACACTTCAAAGTTTATTATCTGGCTCCGCTCCTAAAACTAGAGGAAGAAGCAGGACTAAACTGGCTCGTACCTAGCTTTTGTTTTTTGCATGTTTTAATTTTTTTGAGTCTATCTGTATCTTTTTGTTGAGTATTACTGTACTTGATATCGTATGGGTAGGGTGTCTCTATTGGGCCCTCTCATACAACCTTTATGTATCTTTTCTATTTCAATAAAATCAGTCCTTGGGCTTTCAACCAAAGTCATCTTCAATGATGAGATTTGTCAGACTATAGACAGTGGAAACAAGCAATATTTGGTGCACAAACGTGATAGCTTATCTGTGCTAATTTGATAATTTATGTAATAATATAGGAAAAAAACAGGTTTGCTTTGATTTGCTTGATGAATGTAAAATGCCTAATTCATTTAAGCCAAAATCTTCAAATAAAAAAAATCTAATACGAATGTAAAATTTAGACTTGTCAGGAAAGCAAAAATAATGCATTGAGATGTGCAAATTGACATTTTCAGTTTGATTTTAATTTAGTTGATATAAATTTAGCAGTTTTTTTTAATTATTTTTTTTTCTTTTTTAATTTTTAATTTTTTTTTACACTTATAGGAATTTCTATTTAAGCTGAGTAGTTTTGTTCATGCCTATAATAATGCCTATGAGAAAATATGTTCTTTTAATATTTTAAATCCGTTATTTTGGCTTATTGGCTTGATGTTGGCTCTATGTTTTGTTGATCTATTGTTGGTTCATTAATTGGGCTAATCATTGTTTGGTTTTCTTTTTTTTAATTAACTAATGGATCATGATTCAATCCCTCAACAGAAGTTGGAGCACTATAACAGATTGCATGAATTATGCAATCTGCTATTACATCTCATAGATATTGCATACTTCACAATTTTCATCAAAAGAGCTGAATACATTTTAAATTTATGACCAGTAAACGATAAATTTGAAGTTTTGTGCATTTCAGCTAGGTGTGTCAAATTGAGTTTGGTTCTAACCCCAAATTGAACCGAACTGAAAGTACTTGATCTGAACCCAACCTGAATATTAAGTGTGTCAGAAAGTCCAACCCGACCTGCCTTCAACCTGCTGACCCGAACTTGGCCCATAAAACATATTTAACATAAGGAATAACAGCTATATGGGTCAAATTCAGGTCAATTTTGGGTTAATCGGGTGGTCAATTTCAGGTTTGCAAATCGACTTCGATCCGATTTCGAGTTAGCAGGTCAATTTTTGTTCAATTTTGTTTTGGCGGGTCAACCAGACCCAAAAAAATTAAACGTGTTAGGATTTCTAATATGAACCCGACAAAAAAATTATTCGGGTCAACCCAAATCAGAATTATTCGAGTTGTGCTCGGTCGAGTTGGTGTGTCAGGTCAATTTTTGACACCCCTAATTTCATCGTATATTTGTATTAGAAATTTCTAAACCATCAGTTTGTTTAAATTAAGGTCTGTAATGCATGTATTTGTGCAACCCACTAAGCCTAATAATTAAGAGTTTTATCTCAAATCATAAGACCTTGAATTTAAGGCCTAACACATATGGATGCGTGCATAAGTTTAAAAATTAACAATATGTTCATCCAAATCTACTGTGATATAACAATTAATATCATCAACAGCTCGATTTATCCCAACTATTTAAGTTTGAAATGATAAAAAAATCAAACATCAATTATTTTCATAAGATTACAATTAAAGTTGGTTACAAATTAGAAAGTTATTTCCAAACAAGCTGGAAGTGAAATAACTAAAATCAAGTCATCAACTAATCTTTTTTGTGAATTAATAAACCAACAAATAGCCATCAATCAAACAAAGATTGAAGTACATAAACATTAGATGGATATGGAATGGAGAGATTACCAGGATTTGCAATAGAAAACTGGCCGAAAACATGAAAGCCAGTCCACCAAGCCTGTATATCAATAAGAGTTAAAAATATTTTTAGAAAATGTAAAACAAGCCGGATCATGAAACAAACAATCTCAGGCTTACACTGTAAAACATAGATGGCACGTGATGATCCCACAGCCAGGCAACCAGGGCAGCAACATAGATCATAAAGAAAAAAATGAGAATCCGCAGTTAAAAGTTTATCAAATATTTAACAATGTATGTTATAATAGTCCAAAGGACCAAAAGCTCTATTTTACTCATTCCAAAGCTTTTAGCAATTTAGCAATTCACCAATAATTAATGTTTGTCAAGTTAGGCATAGAAAAAAGGGCCTATAACTTGTATAGCTGGAAGTGATTTTCTTTTGGGGCATGTCAACCATTATTTGTAAAATTATTATTTTTTTTGAAGTAATAAAAAGAAATCAGCCTAACCCCCCGTCCAAGGTCAGGTGAATTTATATAACAAAAACAAAAAAGATCTAAATAGCTCAAATCCCTAAGAACCATTTTAAAGCATTACAAATGTTGATAACACCAAAATATAATTGTGGTTAGCAAGCACATCAAAAGTTCTAAATATTTTCAAATAATCATAAACAAATAAAATAACAAATGCTTGAAAAGACAGATTATAGCGAGTCCATCAGATTGAAACTCAATAGATGAGCATCATCGACTTTGAGGATGACCAAAAGAAGTCGCCATCAATGTAATGAACTCGGTGATGAGATCAAGTCGCCTCAGTGAAGCCACCAAGGCACTACATCCTACCAAATATTAGTGGCGAGACCACCACATCAAGGAGAGTCGAGAGGTGTCAGTCTCTTAACTAATGAGTGCATTTTCAGAAAATTGCAGAGGCACAAAACCCAATTAAAGTCAAATTTTTCCAATTAGATTAGCACATAGGAAAAATGAATCCACCCGCATACATTGCATAGTCTACTTCAAGTCAATCACCGCATTGTTGAATATCATTCATGTTATAAGTAGCTGAGTATTCTTCTGCCATAGGGAAGTATTGCGTCCTTCGTCAAATTTAAGATAGTTTATCACCTAGTTCACAAGCGCCCAAAAATCTCTTAAAAACTCTATGACATTACTAGAGATGAGAAAAGAGTGAGATAAGCTTTCAAAAATTTCATAGTTAAATTTCACAGAGAGATGCTACAAACTAAAAATCTTAAGCCATTGTCATCCTAGCTGCACGCACTTAGAACCTCAGAGAATGAACTGATCGATATGCACTTAGATTAAAAAACTAAAGAGGTTGGTTGAAATGTTAGGAATTGCCAACAACCAAATGAATGTTGAGGTATGCAATAATCTGGAAAATTCAAATCAATGCAAGACTCGTGAAGACATATTCAACACCCACCAAATAAACACTGAGACAACTTTAAATTTTAACCTGACAAGATCAATAACTTGATATAGCCCATTAGCGAATACTCGACAATGCTCGACATTCAATAATCAATGATATTTTGGAAATTTGGTATTCAATACTCAACAATATGAGGGGAATTAAATATTTTCAATTGGCGATACTCAGCTAATTCAATATTCATTACCCGACAATACTTAGGGAACTTGGTGTTTGTTACTCTACAATACTCAACAATTTCAATATTTATTTATAATCAATTCATCAATACCAACTTCGAACTTATAAGTAATTTGTTCATATGCTAATCTAGTATTTTCTCAAAATCGCATAAGTATCACATGAAAATTTCAAGCACCCAAATAACAAAAAAGTCATGAATTAGAACTTGGACTCCCCTTTCTTTGTGACAAGATCTGTGTTAAGGGAATGAGAAGTGCCTTCTAGGCTGAAAAATATAAATCAATATCCTGACAATGAGAAAAAAACTCTCGCATAAGTTGAGCCCCATCCGAGGAGACGACTCGTTCAACAGTTACAATAAGAAACTAGGCCAAGTAAAACTTTTAGCAAGATATCCCAATAGCTTGATGATTTAAGAATTTTTCATCAATTATTATTACTTGCAATCCTATTGGGTACAATATACTAAGCAAATCTCAAACGTTTATTTGTTTTCATTCATCCACAAAGAATTCGATCAAGATATTCCTAATTTAATGTATCTCTACTCACTGTCCCAAAAATGCGTGGAAATGGAAATTTTGATTCCAAACAGGACTTCATGTATGAAGTGAAAAATTACAACTTGCCTAAAGCGATATTACCAAAATACATCAAAATTACATGTCATAGCAATCATGGGTCGTCCTTACAAAAATCATGGTTAATCATCCTCTCCTTTTTTTGCTCTTCTTTGAACTCATTCTTGTATAAAAATAAAAGACTCGGATTTCACCATGATTGATTTATCATGCCGTGACTAGTTAAAATATCCAAGCAAAAAGGCAATTCCCTCTTGATAGTTCTTCTGGATCTCTTATTTGTATTCAATAAAATTAAGAAGCTCATTAATATCAGCAAACTTCAACGGTCAACCCAACCTTCTCCTCCCTTAGCTTTCCCTTGACATTATTCATTTGTAAAAACAATATAGAGTGAGCAAGTTATTTTTTTTTTAGATTGTTAATTCAAGCAATGAATATTCTAAGATGTAACCCCGTTGATTCAAAATTTGCTCCTTCAAAGTTGTCGTGGATTCCCCAAATCCCTTCATAAAGTTCTACAATTCAGTACTTGCCTTCTTTGCAAACTCATCATAGTAGTTCTTCATGCTTTTCTCCATAGACCAGGGTCTCCTTAAGATGGATTTATTGAAGTGCCAAAGTCATCATGAACTCCCGATTCCCGTAGATTGTCTAGTTTGAATAGGCCCTTAAGAGTGAAACCCCTTAAGTAGAATGGAGTTGAACTCTTAAACATCGAGGCACATTTTATTATAACCATCCTTGTAACAGTCGAAACTTCATTAGAAACTCCAAAGTTAAGTGTGCTTGCAAATAAGTTGCTTAGAGAGGAATTGCGAATGGAGGCTTGGGGATATACCACAAGTAGTCAACATCAAGCTTTTACAAGTTCATAGAGAACTCAAACTCCACTTCCTACATATGCAACGCCACCAACTTGGCATCTGACACTATATTCGATTTGGTTTTGACATGCCCCCCATTTGTCGATTCAATAAAAATATTTTTTTCTTCTAATTTATATTTATTTTCTGAAACTAGTTTTTTTATGTATTTATAAAAGAAAAAAAAAACAATGGTATCTCTAAAACATTTTTACGGTAAAAAAAAAAATTTTAATCCCATTTCACTCTACTCCCTCAAATATACAATGAAAGTGATCATACCCACGAACGAATTAAAAAAGACCAAGATCAACGCTAAGAAATATTAATCTAAAATCTTGGCTAGTCGGCCACCTCACGGAAGAAAGGCACACAAAGGCCAAGGAAAAACTCATTGCGATACAAACATAATTAATCCTCCAACGAGCAAAAATACTTGGTAGGAACAAGGATGTGCATGGATAAGTAATCTTCAATCTTTAATCTATCGTATTCTTAACACAAAAAAATTGAAGTTATACTTGGTTGTCAATAAAAGAACCCCAAATCTGCCGACATGGAGTTCACCGAGCAGCACAAAAATGCATTCACTATTGAGAAAGAACTCAATCGAGAGCAGCGAAAGGTTGCCACAGAGTAAAATACAAAAATAATAAGAACATAGAGGGTTAAGTATCAAATGAACTATTACCTCCCAATTTATTGGGCATATCACAGAAGCCGAGGTGCTCGATGTTAAGTCGAAATTACAACGATCATATCACACTCAATTGAATTGAGATGGGAAAGCAACATTACCTTGAGCAAATCAAGAAAGTATCCAAGATCGACTCACTAAAAATCACATCAATAACAAATAATCTATTTCAAAAGGACTATGAAAGAATCTTACCCAAAAAAAAAAATCAACATAGGTTTTTTTAATTAATGCATAAACAAAATAAATATAAAATAAGAGCATAGAGCACAATTACAAATCTCTGATATTTTATTTTACAAGGGAAATATTTAATACATAGAAGGATGAGTTGTAGAACAAATTTTCAAACTTGTTGGAAAGAGATTTTATGGTTCCTCCTAGCAAGGCTAGGACAATGGGACTCATAACAATATCCCTGTAGATCAAAGTGTGATGGATCAAGTGAGGTACTAAGAATTCAATACCACCATAAATTGGTTCACTTGAAAAGAAGCAATGTTCTCTTTAAGAGAATGACTTCACACATCAAGGCATTCAATTTTTGCCTGACCAAAGGAACTTCACCTACGTAGGAAGAAGAACATCAAACCTATCCCTCAAGTCTCCCAATTTTTTTACTTTTTATTTTTATTTTTGCTTGCCACAAAGCTAAAGCTCAGCAAATCTCTAAGCATTTTTAAACTTTCAAAATCCAAGTCAGCTTGAAAGGCAAATACCATTCCCTTCAATGATTCAATCATCAACAAAAAGGATGACTCCGCGCTCGCAACTTCAAATCCATCATCCTAGCTCGAACCTTAGAGCCACTTTTCTTCTCTCTTTCTCTCGAGCTAGTGTTGAGATTACCATACTCGACGCTTTTCATAGTCATAAAATCAAGCAAAATCAACTACTCGCCCACATTAGAAGACGCAACTAATCAACCACAATGGCAAGGTCACTAAAAAATTTCTTTGTTGCTTCCATCGAACATGAACTTGGCTAGGAAGAATCATAACAAGCACCTTCAATGAAAAGAGTAGCAAGATGGAGATCACTTACAAAAGGTAACTCCACAATGACTTCTTCCATCTCGACCGTCTCCTCTTTTAATTCAAGAAAAAAAAAGAAAATTCACTCAAATCCTTGTAACACCATTGTTGTCTATTCTTCATCAATAGAGTGATAGAAACTTCCCTACTAATGCACTTGCTATCTTGATCTATAACTTAAGAATATGAAACAACTAATGCAGCCTTTCAAAGAAATATGGATAATTTATAAACTCTTAACATTCATATGAACGAATAAGCTATCAAAACCATCTAATCATTCATAATAATAAAGACATATCAGTGCAAACAACAATTCTATTTTTCTAGTCCTTGGGCATCTTTTCAAGGGGAAATTCAGAAGACTCAGAGTTTGTTTGGGACGGTTGCAACTTTTTATAAATGTGTTTGTATAGTTATGTTCAAAAAGACAACTTCTTAAAAAGTTGCATGGATGAATTATAAATATATTTTTTTGATAAAATCAGATAACATTTTCTTACAGCCACCACATTTTAATAAATCTGGTTACAAAAAATAACTTGCCACCACAATAAACTCTAGAAAAACAAGAAAATAATTCCCCAAGTAGAACTGTGATTACAGTCTAAAACCAAAAACGAGCAGAAAGCTCCCCAAACAGATCCTAAATTTATAACTAAAATTTTTTGGGTCAAGTATAAGGCAACTAGGCCGACCAAAGATATCGAACAATGAGTTTATAGAATTGAATTTCCTAGATATGAGGGCCATCGACCATGGGACGACCAAAAGAAGTATCCATCAATGCAATGAATTTGATGATGAGAGACAAGATGCCTTCAA